GCGTCGCCTATGGCCAATTTTGGGTATTATCGTTTTTTGAGGTTTCGTGCGCGCACGCAATTTTAAGGCTTGACATGTTTGGTGTCTTTTTACCCGACGTGACCCCGTCTTTTATATTTTACCAAAAAATTGGGTAATAATAAATGTTTTATCATTTAATATAGGGGAAACAGTTTTTTTTTTTTTTACATTTCGGTAATTTTTCCTTAATTTAGTAAAAAATAAAACCCCCAGTGGTGAATAAATACCACCAAAAGAAAGCTCTATGTGTCCCCAAAAAAGGTGCGTTCTGTCCCGAATCTGGCCGGAAACACATACGATCGCATTGCGACCGGCTCACTTTGTTGTGGGGTGGGACGGTGCACTGAAGTGAATGGCACCACAGCCACGCCCTCCAACCGCAATGCGATTGGCCACACGGGAACGCGTGACACATGAGTGCCTGGGTCCGGTCAGAAAAAATAATGGTTGCAGCATTTTTTCTGACCAGACCGCCTTGCGTCCCCGTGCGGCCGATCGCATTCGGCCGGAGGGCGTGGCTACCGTGCCATTGAGTTCAATGCACCACCACAACACCCCCTCCCGCCCCATAACAAAGTGAGCCAGTCGCAATGCAATCCAGTGTGATCCGGCCAGAATCGGGCCGGAATGCACTGTGGCTGGTGTGAACTAGCCCCAAGTAGATTATTACCAGTTGATCCTGCCAGTAGATCCATTTTTTTCTACTTCCTGTACAGGCCGAGCTGTTCAGTAAAAAGTGACAATTACAGTTTGAACAAAGCGTATTGCCCGGTTTAAAAGTGTTAGCTGGAGTAAGGCTTTCATTTGTTTGTCTTTTACTTGAAGTCCATCTAAAACTACTGTTATTGGGGGGCTCAGAAAAACAAAATGGTGCTTTTTATGTGACAAGGTCAATTGATCCCACTATAATCAATCAAAATTCAACACTGTCTGTTTTGATTATACCCTGTTTCCCCGAAAATAAGACCTACCCTGAAAATAAGACCTAGTACCATTTGTGGGAATTGCTAAAATATAAGACCTACCCCGAAAATAACTTAGTTATGACCACCTAGTTGTGACCATTCCCAGGGCCGGTGGTGGCATAAGGGGGAACTTGAAGAGACGCGGGAGAGGCAGGAGAGATTCAGCGGTGCCAATGAAGCCAGCGCTAGAGGAGGCGAGGCGGCACCAGAGGGAGCAGAGCCGCATAAGCCAATGCCTCCTCTATAGCGCCGGCTCCTGTCACAGGTGGAGTGATACCAAATGCACTCTGCCTGTGAGGAATCTATAGTGAAAGTGCGCTTCGCTCATTCTGGCCAGCGATTGGTTGGCAAATTGCTCTTGTAAAGGTACGGCACCCCTGATTGCCCTGATCACCATATTTTTGCACATAAATACATGTAGACTTTTCTACATGAATAAGTGTGGATTGTTGTACATTAAAATAAAAAATAAGACCTACCCCGAAAATAAGACCTAGTGTGTTTTTTTGAGCCAAAGAAATTATAAGGCAGTGTCTTATTTTCGGGGAAACACGGTAGTACATGGCATTTGTGTACTATGTACTATATACCATTTAGCAGAGTTACTGCACTCTGCTAAAAATATTTTAATGTCACCAGTTTATTATTAGTGTTGTTTATTAAAGTCGAACTCTGTGCACAATGAACTTACCTGTGTTATGACAGTTGAAGCCTCTTATGCCAAAGCTACCTCCCGTGATGAATGCTATCTTTTAAATCCCTCAAATCTTCTTGTTTACATGCGAGTGGAAGTACAGCACCCACTGTACTTCGGTGCCCACTCGTATGTAAGCACTACAGGTCTCAATAGATTTCAGCGCTACAGTCACATCTCTGCCCTGCCTCCTCCTTGCCATTCACAAAGCAAACAGCCCAGGCTCCATTTTGTACATGGCCAGGGGGAGAGGAGGGTGGAGATATGACCATTTTACTGAGGTCTATTGAGACCTGCAACACTTACATCCAAGCAGGAATGGAAGTGCTGTACTTCCATCCACATGTAAACAATAAGATATGTGGCATTAAGGACTTGTTCACACCAAGCGCCTTCCAGGAGCAGAGCAGAGCAGTTACAGATCGGAGCAAAACTGCGTCCAATGTATTCCAATAGTATTTTTAGCTCCAGTTCACATCGCAGCGATACGTTCCAGAGCAGGTAAAAAAACTGCAGCAGGCCCCATTTTACCTGCTCTGGAACGCATGCAAACCCATCAAAAACGCATGCAAACGCCCTGGAACGCACTGAAAGCCCATTTTAAACAAAAAAAATACTTTTTTTTTAACTAAAAACATCCCGCAACGCGGCAAAAAATGCGGCACAAGCCACTGCACTGCGTGTGCAGAAACTCATGCAGATCTGGTCCGCATTGGATGTGAACAAGGCCTAAAAGATAGCAGTCATCACAGGAGGCAGCTTTTAAGTAATCAGAGGCAGTCATATCCCGGCACCCGAGCAGGCGTGGAGGTACTGCGGATGCTATACTGTAAACAATAAAGGTGCCCATACATCTTACGATTATCGGACGATTTTCGTATGCGATCGACTTTTCGTCCGATAATCGTATGTGTGCATTGCAGTGTCCGACCGACATTACAATGTACAATCGTACGACTTTTGACGGTCAAGCATGTTTGAAAACTTTGCTCGATGTACGATTGTCGTAAGGTTGCTGGCGTTTCCGTCCGTCAAAAGCCGTACGATCTACACTGCGCATGCGCGAACGAAAATACGATAAATCAATTACCGCATTTCGTCCAGGTGCTTTTAGTTAATTACGGCTAAATTAATCTTGCGATCATCGGGGCAGGATGGGGCTGCCGTATGAACATCGTACGACTATCCGATCATCGGACGAAAAGTTTCGTCCGATAATCGTAAGGTGTATGGGCACCTTTAGATATGTGGGATTCAAAAGATAGCAGCCATCTCAGGAGGTGACTTTTCAGTAATCAGAAACAGTCATATCCTGGTTCAGCAGCTTTTAGAACCAGAAGGTGTCACAAAGAATTAGGGGACCCTTCTTTTGATGCATAAAAAGCACTCCTGCTCATTAACGTATAACCATAAAGGTAGAATTGGAGGATTTTTTTAATTAATTTTTTTACTGTTCAGAGTTCACCTTTAATAGGCCTCCAGATTGTTTACTTCTGGTTTCTAGTCATACATGCATGTACATTTATTTATCATGAAAAATGTTGCCTTTGTCTTCATATGAAAAAACATTTTTACCACCTTTCTAATTTCATAAGATATCATATTATATCAAGCATGATTTAGTTATTCATGCCCCACATACAGCAACAATAACTCGGATCATTATGCAACAGCTGGTGGCTCTATGTCAAGAGAAAATGAGTAAATCTTCAAGCTGCCATAGGGAGTAACATGAGCTCCAAGCCACTCAGATGAAACACCTGCTTTAAATTAGGATGTATGCTTTGTCTTCTACAGTTACCTATACTGAAATATTAATATACTCTTAACCAAACTGACAAAGCACCGTACACTAGACTTCATAGCTCGTATTCACTAAAAACAATATATAATCTGAAGTACCTGTCATGATGTGGGACTGAAAAATGCATCCGCTGTTTATTTGGTGATCTTAGTATTAACATTCTTAAGCTGGCCATACACCAGTAGAATTTCATGGGTTTTCAGAATGGGCGGAAAATGGGTTTTCAGAATGTTTGGTTCGTTTTATCATAGCTAATAGGGTTAAATAATTAATAAATGTTCTGACAAGATTTTCCGTATGAAAGTTTGTTCAATCTACCAGTGTATTGCCAGCTTTAAACAGTAATGTAGCAATGAAATGCTACCAGAAGAGTTATAATTAGAGGTGCACCAAAATAGAAATTTAAAAACCAAAAAAAATAAAAATTGTCAGGCCAAAATCTAAACTGTTTCTATTTAAATTTTTTCAAATTTTTTAAATATTTTATTTTTATTTATTTTGTATAAACTTTGTAATTTTTTATATTTATTTTTATTTATTAATTCTAATGTTTTATTACATTTTTTTTTTTAGGGGCTTCGGGGAAATATTAGGGGTCTAAACATCCCTAGTTATAATAACAACAGACGAATACATTCTGCTGTTCATAGCCACAGAGACATTCAGGCATCCCTTAGAATCCTTGATTAGGGATAATTTCCAACCCTTGTAGCACAAAGAATGCTGCTTGTGCAGCTAAAACTGCCCATACACCTGCCGATTATTGTATAATCACGTGAAATCCCGCGATCGTACGATAATTGTCAGGTGTATGGAAGGCGTGCGACCGTTTCTACTGTACAGACGCACGTCTTTTGTCTTAAGAGCAGGCTCGAAAACCCGCAGAGAATCGTACGATTGCTGGTGTGGAAAAGCACGTGCTGGTGTGGAAATGCCACGGGCTGGTGTGCAAATGCCTGTTCAGCATTGCAGTCATGGGAAGCCCGCCCCTCAGCGGGGCGGGCTTGCGATGATTGCAAGTACGATCTGCCTGTCCAAGATGGGCAGATCGTACGTTTTTTTAATTACCTTACAACCATCGCAAGACAAAAGTCTTGCAATGTTCTTGAAGACTACCATTAGGAGACACCCTTCTACTGGCTAGAAAAGGTGGGGTGTGCTTGTGTTTTCAGTAGCTAGTTTATATATGCTGGCACGGTCTTATCAACCCAGCATTTAGCTGTTCCTCACTGTGGGGTTCATCTTCCTCCCACTTTGTTTTGCTTTGCTTTGGCTTCCTCATGCCATTCGTTTCAATCCACTGTCTCTTTTTATTATTTTTTCCTGTTGCATGTTTTGAATATTTATTGGTTTTCCCCACGTGTCATATTATGTATGGTTTACTTCCACCTTCAGAATGTGCAAAAATATACCTTCTGCTGTCAGTTCATTACTAATATTTCTTATGAATAGATACAGAATGCTACATACATTGGGCTTGATAAAGAAGGAGAAGCTATCACAGGGAGTCTCTTACCTGTGTGAATCCTAATATGGCGAGTTAACTGACTTGGCTTCTGAAATGTTTTACCACAGTGTGGACAGGAGTAGGAAAATCCACTTCTGTCTATGTTCCTGTTGTAAGATCTGGTGCTTGACACTCTATGTAAACCAAACAAAACGCATTCAGATTTTTGGACACAATCAAAAGAGAACAATATAAATGCCAACTAAAGGGAGCACGTAACAGTTCCTGTGCTGTAATTTAAGCACTCAAAAATTCTGCAAGACTGGGATTTCCGTGTTCTTTAAAGTGATGTTCTAAATAAATTATTGATAAAGCAATTGATACAGACCTGCATTGTCTCTGCAGGAGATATGAATACTGCTGTTATTGCAAACTGGGAGGACAGAGGACTGGTTTAGTATAATTCAGGAAGACATAATGCGCTAGGTATATGCACGATCTAGCCTTACTGTATACATATGTGTAGAATAATTATATATACATTTATAGCCAAGTGCTATAAAAGATTTGCCTCCAAACAAAACTCACTGGTGTAGCCAGGCCAATTTACAAACTGTGAAGGAATGTAGAGTGTAGTTGTTACAAATAGCACCCAATTTAAGAAAATGCAATCCTTTACTGAATGACATTTAGCTTCTTAAAGCTATCAAATTCTAGTTTATTTTGAGCTACCTGAAAGTATAAGAGCTGTTTAGTAAAAACCAAAGACACTTTTACAAGGTCATGGTGACAAACTATACACAGTTTAGAGGGTGCTTAAGAAAAAAAGAGACACTTTAGGAATATTTGCTGATGTAAAGCTATATAATAAAGCTGTAGAATGCTGAGCTTTTCAACCTCTTCTCAAGCTCATTAACTTTGAATAGTGTGAACAAATGCCATAATACTGTAGATTGTAGTGAGAGAAAGTTCACCTTATTTTGAAATGTGTTTTCATATGGTCTTTAAGCTGTGGTGCAGACTCAAAAGTCTTTTTGCATGACTTGCAGCTGTAGGTTTTGTTTCCTGTCACCTCTTGTCGATGTTCCTCCATGTGCAGAGACAGATGGCTTTGTAATGTGAATTCATCTCCGCACTCTGAACAGATGAGGGTCTAGAAAGCAAAGAGGCACTTCTTTTAAGTAATCGTTTCAACAGTTTGCGCCCTTATGTGACATTATCTAAGCTAATTTAATAAACCAAGACCCAGTTTTTAAAAAACCACCATCAAAAAGGCAATAACATACAATTAAATAAAAGGACTACATTCCAACTGGCAAGTTTAGTCAAATGACATTGAATTAGCAGGACTGTGCACACTGTGCTTTGTCTATTAAAAGAGGATTCTGCTTTTCATAGTTACATAGTTTGTAAGGTTGAAAAAAAGGGCATCAAGTTCAACCAACAAGTTCCTAAAGATATAAGTCCCTTCTGAATATTCTAATAGTTGAAAAATAGCTGTAATTTCCTGCAGAGTTTAATATATATATGTTTCTCTGTGTAAAAAAGGTAAAAAAAAGTCTTCAAATAATAGCAAAATCAGCTCTTGTATCCTTACAAAAATGAACACCCCCTTTGTATGGCCTACAGTAACCAGTAAATTATGCCCTCCAACCATTATCCAGCCCAAGCTCTAGATTTAACACATACATGCCGTGGAAATATTTACCTCTTCTTTTTCATGCAGCATAATATGAGCTTTGAGACTGGCCACTCGAGAGAACTTTTTGTTACATGCTGGACACGCTGGCTCATCCACATTGTGTGTAGCCTTATGCAGTGTAAGGTTAAATTCAATATTAAAAGACATTGGGCACTGATTACAACGATGAGGCTACAAAACAGAGATATGCAAACATAAAATTACTGTCAAAAGTTGAATAAATGTGTAAATATTTTATACAAATGTTAGAAACTCACAGTCATAATAGAGGGCAAAAGAAGAATAGAGAGACAGAGACGTAAAGTTCTCTTCCCACATTTAACATGCCTGCATGGAGACCAATACCCTCCACAATATCTATTTGGCTTGTACAACAATTTAATATGTAATGATGATCTATGTTTACTATTATATCTGTAAGTTTTGGTACATCCCTCTCCTGCAAAATGCCACCCTTGCAGAGTCCCCTTTTTGAGAAGCTTGTGTGAAAACAGACTTTCAAAAATTGCAGCACAGGCACACCCTGGTCGCTTTATGCGTGGCAATGACAGGGACTCTTAAGAGGTTACTGAAAAAAACAGTATTACACTGAGGGACAAAGTATGTTGGCCTACATCTACGCCCAGACATTCAGAAAATCAGTAGTAGTTCAGGAGGCTTTAGGCTGTTCAAGAGAGCTGATTTCTAACAGGAAAGCTACAATACATGGCCAAAAGTTTCTGGAACTTTACCATAACACTTGTATAAGCTTGTTGGACATTGCAATCCAAAACCATGGACAATAATTTGGCGTTGCCCCCACTTTGTAGGAATAACAGCTGCCCCTCCTTCGATAAGGCTTTCCACAAGATTTTGGAGTGTGTTGAGGTCAGGTACTAATAATGGACAAGTAATCAAGGAGACCTGGCTGGCAATTGGCATTCAATAGGGCTGAGGTCAGGGCTCTCTCTAGACCCCTGGAGTTCCTCCACACCAATCTCATGAAACAAAGTCTTTATGGACCTAGCTTTGTACAACAGTTCTACAAGAACAGAAAGGGGCCTTCTCCACCCTTCACTAGAAACATCAATTGGGGTGATACTTTTGGCTATATAGTGTAGGTATGATGGTCGGGTGTGCAGGCATTTTTGGCTATATAGTGTATGTGCTAATCGTTCGTGTGGTTCTTCTTCATTGGTAGTGTTGGCTTATAATTTACTTTAGGATGGCTATATAATGCCAGATTAGATAATTTAACATTCCACCTTCCTGGTAGCGGGTCATCCTGTCTGCAACAACTGCCATCCATGCTGATGTCCAATCTGGCAGAGATGGGTTTTCATACCAGATGTCATCACTTGTCTCCTGAAGTAAACATTGTTCTATGCATGTCCACCTTAACAGGCCACTGACCAGGAGTTTTTCTAGTGTCAACAAACAGGGGACAAGTGAAGTGGGCAGTTACTGGACTGAATATAACTGTTTTAAATGGATGCACAGGTAGTTTTTTTTGTGAAATGGGAGATAACAGTCTATGCAAAAAATGGAAAACTTAAATTAAAGGAAAGCCACCTTTCTAAAACAAGTCTACATTCCAAAATCTGCAACTGGGACAGCCAGTCTACTCAAACTACACACCAGTATATTAACATTCATTCTTTCCCCTTAGGAATCAAATAATCAACCCTGACCCTCCAGAAATCAAGGCAAGAGATAAGCATAAAAGCAAGCTTTGGTATAAGTTTAAAACATTTTTCTTTTTCAGTTTTGGATAGAGTGGGTTAGATGTGTTCCCCATGTTTGATGCCCCATTAGGTGATTTCTACCAACCAGAAGTCTCTGTGACCAAGAAAGGATGCCACTAGGACAGGTAAACATTAACAGCAATAAAAACCCAACAAACGTTCTAACTATGAATTAAATGGGTTTTTTTTTGCTATTACTGTGCACAACAAAGAGATTTTCCATCACTTCCTGTTCCTGTGACACTCCTCCATCTAAAAAAGAAGTAAGGGAAAATCCACTTCAAAAAACATTTTAGCTGGAGCTGGGCTTTAAATGTGACAAAACACTAGAATCTGCTCACCTTATCATTCTTCTCATGATCCCGCATGTGTTTCTGGTACTGTGTCTCTTTAGGGAAGGAGAACAAGCAGATGTCACACTTGTAGGATGATCCATGAGAGGAGAAACTGTTATTGTCAGCATTTGTTGTTAAAACTCCATCTGCAAGGATTTTTAGAGTGTTAAAAAAATATATGTTTAGACCCTATATCATAGTATAATGTTAGCAATTACAAATAAAATGAACAACATCTTTTTACTTTGAATTACTGTATTCTCTCAGTATATATTACCATTATACTGAGACAGACCAGTCTGAAATAAATATTTTTTTTTCCTAAGCCAATTTAACGCTGAGGATTATTTTTAAGCACAGTGTGCTCATTTTCTTTAATATTAAATTATACTGTATTTATAAAGTCATTAGGAAAACATATGCAAAAAGAAAAGGTAGCACAGAAACAACGCATAGTGCAGCAAGTGAAAGAATTTAAGAATAATACTAAAAGTAAACTGCACTCACAAACAACCCTGCCCTGCCATTGGAAAGGAAGCAAGCTGCTGTCAGTATCTGGAAGATAGGGTACAGCACAAAAATCCTACAAAATTCCTGGTCACCCAATCATTACCCAATGAATAGCCTAACTACTGGCCTTTTCGGAATGTATTAAAAGAGGACTATGGCCAAACCTTTTTTGGCTTTAATTCTCTTTAAGGACGCAAGAGTATATTTACAAATATCCTCCAGTGACCCCAAACTCAGCAAATTGCAGGCTATTGCCCGCTGTATGCTGACACCACAGAGCCGAGCTGCAGCTGGGAAAGATCCCTGCAATATTGTCGGGATCCACCCCGCTACCTAATCGAGAGGGGAGTAGGGAATCCCTGTGAGGAGCGGGACAGTTACCGCTCTCTACAGGGAGAAGTTTGTGAACTGAGCGATCAGAGGTTTGTGATCGCTTAGTTCTCGATCTATAGAGTAGACGATTGGCAGTTTCAGTGTCACACGTCGGCTCTAACTATGGGGATGAGTGTATTTCACTCTTCCCATAATTCTCCTTTAATATTTTTTTTTCTTACAACATTTGGTCACTGTACCCCCTGCCTATATAAAAGAGTCAGGCCACATACTTCACATTCTAAGTAATTAAAAAGTGGGAGGATTTTTTTTTTTAATGGGCATCTCTTGATGTGACATATCCTTATACTTCAAATCAAATAGGTCTCCCTGCTTTACATGATTTCTTACGGAGTTAAAAAAGGATGCTGTCGCTAGGGGTTCGGTTTGTGGTCAGGTAGGCATCTTTGATTGGCAATTTACTACTTCTATTAATCACCTAGTTTGTTTTGTCTGAGAGAAGTCAACATACATGGCAGGATGCAGTCACTATTCAGCTGATCATTTTTTTTACCTCGTTCAGTCAATTTTTTTGATCGACTTTTGTCAAGCCAGGTGGTGCTTGCTGGGCCACCCACAGCTCAGATTTTAACCGATTCTTGTTGAACTCCAGCCGTCTTAGACCAGCTTAAAAGTTCACTTTGGCGAGCATCATAGAAATGTTAAAAAAGGCTCATTTAACTACTTCAGGAACGGCATATTACACCCCCTTCCTGTCCAGGCAATTTTTCCGTTTTTAATGTCATTGTATATTTGCCCCCCTATGTGATAGCAATAAAGTTAAGTGTATAAAAAAAATAGAAATAAAATAAAGTGACATATGAAAAAAAAAGTAATTAACACAAAAAATGTTTAGGCTCCTGGGTGCATGCACATATAAATGTAAATACACGTCGGCTGTGCCTACTTGCGAAAACAACGATTACACCACACATGTTACATATCACCATGGACATCAGAGTGTCAGCAATTATTTTAGGTCCATCAATCACTGTTAACACTAAACTGATAAGCGGTAAAAGCGTTCAAAGTGTTGCCTATGGGCAATTGTTTGCAAGTGCGCACACATTTTAAAGCTTGACATGTTTGGTCCCTATTTACCGGACATAACACGATATTTTATATTTTACCAAAAACTTGGCTAATAATAAATGTTTTATAACATAGGGAAAATATTTGCAATATTTTTTCGTTATATAGTAAAAAATAAAAACCCCAGTGGTGATTAAATACCACCAAAAGAAAGCTCTATCTGTCCCTAAATAATGGTATAAAATGTATTTTGGTACGGCGTTGCATGACTGAATAAATGTCAAAGTACCACAGCGCTGACAACTGAAAAATGGCCTCGGCAGGAAGTGGGTTTAACACCCTGGTCTTCAAGTAGTTAATAACTACTGTTTGGGGTTTTTTTCATTAACAAAAAAAAAAATATGTGTACATTATTTAGTTTGTGTGACAGTTATAGAGTCTACAAACTATGGTATGTATACATTTTAACATTTTATAACCCTGATTTTCTGACTGCCTATCACATTTCACATGAGGCCTAAAAATACCAGGACAAAACACACATCCAAACTGACACCTTTTTGGAAAGTAGACACACCAAGCTATTCTTTTTGCCAGTTTTTTTGAAAATAACATTGTATTATTTTTCACAAAGTTGTCATTTTAATAAGATATTTCATATATATTTTATATAGCATAAGCATACTTAAAAGTACACCTAATAACATATTCTGCTACTTCTTCCAATTATGGGGCTAACATGTGTGAGTTTTTCACAGCATAGCCGCATGGGGGGCAAAATACACAGTGCACTTTTAGGCTTTTGAAGGGATATTAAAGCTTCATTTTTTTATTTTTTTTATAAAGAGGAGGCCCATAGCTTTAAAATTCAGTTGTTGTAGTGAATAAAAAATGTTCCATTCCTCATTCTCTAGTGTGTCCCCGCAGTGCTCTCCCCCCATATGGGTGCAACCATCAGTTAAGTGACTTCCGTGGGAGGCACTGTTGCGTCTCGCTCCTGGCCGTGCCCACTGTAGCTGTGTGCGTCCATAGACACACACAGCCCTGCAGCAGGCCATGCCCCTCCTCTCGGTCAAGCATGTTGATTGATGGCAGAAGGAGCCTTTGGCTCCTCTGCCCTCAATATCCTGCCCCGCAACCAGGAAGCTTGGATGGAGGATTGCTTCGGGGGCCGGCGGGGCTGACAGGTAAGTTTGGGGGAGCAGTAAGGTACTGGGCGTTTTTTACTTTAATGCAGATAATGCATTAAGGTAAAAAAATGCCCCGTCTTTAGTAATCCTTTAAGGGGCATATGTTACACATCTGATTTCCTGACTACCCATTACATTTTGGAGGCCCTGGGCTGCCAGGACAATAGAAACACCTGCAAAATGGCTGACACCAGTAGTAATCAGGCACTGGATGACACTAGTATTGAATGACACTGGTATTAGCTGGCACTGGTACTGGACAACACTGGTACTGGTGACATTGGTCACAGCAATCATATGATACAGAGCCACTTTCATTGCCTCTGTACCTTTTTGTTTGTGATCTGCACTGTCCAATGACAGGGGTGATCCCCACTAGAGCAGAAACAAATGCTGTTGAGAAACAGCGACCCACCCGGCGAGGTTAGGCTCAGTCTATCAAGACACTTTGCCATATCCCATGGCAGTGAGGTTGAGGACACAGGTAATCGCCTTACGTTATGCTTACACGAGACATTTTGTATACTTCACTTGGATAGTCTCTCTATGAGTGGCCTAAATGAAGAGCTTAAGGTACATACTATTTTATAATAAACATATGTTTTCAACTCCTTTTCTTTAGCTACGTTTTAGTTCAAAGTATTGTATTCCTTAGACTTTATTTTTTATGTGTCATTTTATACGGTCTACATTGACACACAAGTAACAACTTGATTACAATATGTGTAGTTTTCCTAGATTCACATTTACATATCATTCCCTGTATGTATTATTCAGTTGATAGTATTGCTTCCTCTATTTTACTATCATTTATGTTGTCATAGGAGTGACTGCACAATTTATCTTGTGTGTTCTTTTGATATCATCCTTATTTCATTTCAAGTTCTAGTACTGTGCCCTCCATCTAGCATGGTCTATGTTGCTACTTTTTTAATTAAAATATGTTACATTTCTTCATATGTATATTTACTATGTTAATAAAGGAGATCTAAAATTAAAGCAAATACTTTCATTTTATAACATCAACATTGTAATAGTAATACAAACAATAGTTTTTTGTTTTTTTTAAAGAGTAAAGTTTAATAAATTATTAGACAAATAAGACAAGTAAGACAGTACAAAAAAAAAAGTACTCTCAGATAACAAAGGGTCGACATGTAGTATGCATCAGAATTGGAATGTTTACTCAATCCTACAACTCCTAAGTTGTCGACCAGCATTTGTGCGGTGCAAACATACCCCTAAGGCATTTAGATTGATGGAAAAGGAAGGAGAGAGGAAGGAAAGAAAAAAAGAGAGAACAAGACAAAAAAAAAGGAGTGGAGGACAAATAGGTGGAAAACTGAAGGTGTGCGTTGGAGCCTGGTCCCCCCACATTTGTAGTATGCATACATACATATACATGCATATATACACATACAATTATTTATGTATTCATTGTTTTTTTTAAGGTATTGATATATTTTAATTGCCACAGAGAGTTAGGTTGACAACAGTAAGCGGAACTTGTCAGTTGTGCAGAAGTACAACCACACACTCCACAATTCATAAAATTGAGAATGGCGCTCGTGAATGCTAGCTGTGAGCTCTTCCATCCGACAAATAAATTGCATCTCTTCAGTCCATTCCTTCATGGTCGGGAGGACCAAAGACTTCCAATGTCTTGGTATGACCGTTCTAGTTGCCACAAGGAAAAAGCGGAGTAATCCCTTCTTGGAGGAAGCAATGGATCCTGGTATCATGGAAAGGAGAGCCATCTGTGGGGTTCGGACGGTCTTTGACCCAGTAAGGTGATCGTAGGTGTCCAAAACAGTGGACCAAAACTTATAGAGACATCTCCCTGGCCTAATCCTCTACATATTTAGGTAGGTCCGTAAAAGAGGTTGAGAGCAGTAAGTGATATATGGTCGAGATCGGGCGGCGTGGGGCAGCACTGTCTAAACAGAGTTGCTCAAAGGGCAGGAGATCTCTATGGAGATCACACTGAAGCTGAAAGCTTAGAGTAGAAGTCGCGTAATTGAAAGTAGGCCAACCAGTGACCT